ACACACACACACACACTCACACACACACACACACACACACACACACACGAGAAGCAGTTTGTAGGTGTTTCTTCAAAGAAACCTTGCTCCCTGATCTGCCTCTGGGCCTTTTAACTCTCCATTTCTCACCTTCTGGGGGCCCTTTCCCTCCACTGTGGACCCTCACCCCCTGTCCAGCTGAAATGCTAACCAATGAAATACCTTTAAAAAACTGTGTGCCTCTCTCTTTAACATTTTTCAGTAGTTCTAATTATGATGCACCTATAATTTAGCATCTGGCTTTTTATATAACACATAAGAAACAAACAAATATCTTTCTAAACTGGACTGAGTCAAATCTCGATGAAACACGTTTCTGTACCCTGCCCCCCCGGGAGGACATATTTCCCCGCTTTTGAGCGCTGAGGCTGAGATGAAGATTCTTGCTCATGACGTCATCCTGAATCCTGGCTGCTGTTAATCAGGGCCCACCACATTAGCTTATTTAAATCTTCCTCATTCCATAGGATATGAGGATGTTGAGTCAGGTTCTCTTCCTAGGTACAGGTACAGGAGGCAAAATGTGATCAGTAGACAATAAATATAGACCAGTCTCTGGTGTAGAGTTATTATCTTGTTGGGGAGATCTGAAAACCCCTCCATGGCAGGGGGGATGTGGAAATGGCCACCTGGACTTTGAGGATCATTTGTTCCAACCTCTCTGGGTTTTCTCCCTTTCTGTCCCTTATCAGGACATTGCTTGGTTTGTGAGTGGTGGTTGTTGATGTCAGACCTGTAACACCTGTGATTTGGAAAAACCTTTCATGGAATCATGTTTGGACCATCTGTCTAGAGTTTTTGCTCCATGTTCATGGGTGACGTCTCCATGAGGTCTAGGATGTTTTTCTGAAGACTTAGGACCCATGGCCCACGGTGGGTTCATGGGAACCCCTAGCAGAAGTACCATGCCTCTTCCATTCCACCTTCAGAGTCCAAGTCCAGCTTCCCCACCTATGTTCCTAACATCCTGGTCTGGTTCTCCCAGAGATGCTTGAACCCGGGTGACTATGATTGACCACTGCTGTTGGTCTCCTGCCCCGGCCCACTGAGCGACACAGCACCACAAGCAAACCAAGATCACAGAAGCACACTTATTCTTGGAAGGGACTTCCTTGAATTGCTAAGCCCTCCAGAAAGTAAAATAGTGACCTCCTGTGGTTTCTGGCCTTGAGTTCCATTCCTGATCTGAGTTGACTGAACACAGAGCTCAGGGGGCCTCAAGCACCATTACTGGTGCCTGGCTGCCACTACAAACGGTGACTTGTTGGCAGAGGGGCTGAGACGTCCCAGCTCGGCTGCCTGCAGCTTACACAGCTGTGGGGGTGCAGTCTGCTGTGCCTGAAGGTGAGAGGATGGCTGGAGGAACTCTGCTGTGTTTGAAAGCTGTAGGTGGGTGTGCTGCCCGTCTTGGCTCATCTGTGCTCCTTACCTGGGCTGCAAGGCCCAGAGACCAGACCTCTGGTCTCCTAGAGCCAGCTGGGGTCAGAGGCAGCCAGTCCTGAGCCCTGAGCCCTGAGCCCTGATCCCAGCCAGCCCGCCACTGCTCCTGTCTTCCCGTCGGGGTGTGATTTCTTGTCCCATTTGTTCTAATAGTGAGGACCATGGGTTTTAAGTGTTGGGGTTACTATACTAGTGGTTTTAATAATAATTGCATCATGATAATTAATAACAGATATCATTTATCGACTGCTCACTCTGTGCCAAGTCTTGTGCTAAGGGCTTGACCTGCCTTATCTAATTAATCATCCCACTGACTTTGTGAGGAAAATTCCATTATGGTTCAGTAGTAGATCACATTTCCAAAGGCAGCTGGACAATGATCTCCATGCCACGTGCTCTTTCTCTCTGTGACCTTGCCACTGCCCCATCAAGAGATGGACTCTATTTCCCTTCCTGCGCAAACTGGGCTGGTCTGCGACCGCTCTGGCCAGCAGAATGCTGTCTAAGTGACGTTCAGGGACTTTCACACCCTGGTGTTGAGGCCTGGTAGCTTCTGTGTTCACCCTCTGAGGGAAGCCAGACGCCACGTCAGAAGTCCAACTACGTAAGACTGCCGTGATATGAGGCCGTCACAGCCAGCTACGTGCAGGGGCCACGTGGAGACAGAGAGGAGCACAGCGGAGGCAGCGGACACATGAGCTGAAGCCGTTCTTGGATGTTCCAGCCCCAGCAGATGCCACATGGACCAAAGAAGGGCTGTCTCTGCTGAGCGCTCTGTAAATTGCTGAATGAATGAACAAACCATGTATGGTTGTCTTAAGCCACTAACACAGCAGACAGATGTGATAATCAAAACAGATCCTCACTGTATAAGTCAGAAAATGGAATCTTAGAGAGTTCACACAGTGAGTGAGTAGAGGAGCCCAGATTCAAGATTCCAGGGTCTCAGGATCCATCCGCAGTTCCATGGGACAGCCGCAGTCTAGCAGGGTCACACAGCCTGAGCGCGCAGTCCTCTACTTAGTACTTGTGCCAATGGGCCATTCCCTGAACCACAGTTTTCTCTCCTGCAAAATGGGACACAGTCACAGTCCACCCCACTTCTCAGTATTTCTATGAGGCTCTGATAAGAGTGTAGGTGAACATGCTCTTGTCAATATTAGTAGCACTTTGAAGAAATTGTGTTGTGAGCACCATACCAAGTGCTTTGGAGACATGAAGCTGATTAGACATGGCCCCTGTCCTGAAGGAGTTCACGTGACTTCAGAGGATGGGCGGATATAACCACACGAACCACTGGGCTCTGAATGTGAGTGGGTGGCTGGTGGGAGGGGGTTCACCCCAGCTGTGGAGCCAGGGTCTAGGGTTTGCGGTGGGGGTGGCACTTCAGTGGGCTCCACCTCACCTGTGCCCGGGGTGTGGCCAACAGGAGCAGGAGAAGGGGGCAGGGGAAGGGTCTCCTTCCAGCCATTGGGAGAACACACCCAAGGGCTCAAGTGTAGGAAAGCAAAGGATGAGTTCTGGGCATTAAAATGAAGCTGGAGTTGGGTGGTGATGGAAGGTTTGGCAAAGGAAGACTTTCTGTTTTACCCCCAGGCAATCCTACGGTAAAGGGACACTGAAAATGCAGAGGAGAGGGACAGTAGATAGAGGAATGTCCCAGATGGTGCAACAGGGAACAGGTGGAGTCTGCTGAAGGAAGGAGAGAGTGGATAAAGCTTCAGAGATATTTTGAAGTGGGAAATGGAAGCCAGAGACCTCAGGTTGGGGGACATCCATCTTGTCTGCAGGGGACTTGCTGAGGATGGAGACTGCTGGGAGCAGCCATCCTGGGGAACCCAGGACCCCTGCTTTGTTCTGTCATTGGTGCACAGGTTTTCTTTTACCAATGCAGTTACGAGCGTTTAGACGACAGGAAACATGCAATTCATGATTGCCTCTCCCGAGTCTCAGGGAGGGCTCAGGTACTGAGCGATGGGTCACCTGACGCCTAGGCTGTGATTTCTCCAGGCGTTTTTTTTTTGATGATGTGTCTTGGCTTGAGGATACATCTCTAACCTTTTGCCTAGAACTTTCTATTACCAGGAGAGTGGCAATTTTGGCAGCCATAAGCACATCTGGGGAAGAAATGGCAGCCTCTTAACTGTGCCTAAAGCAACTGGGGCAAAAGGCAGCCCTCCTAACAGTGGGATGTTTATCAAGGGTTATGGCAGGTGAATAAAACCGACTAGTACAACATTCACTTAACTCTGAATAATGCAATCTCTTCCAGACAGTTTTGTAGTCAAAGCAGCATTGCTTTAGGCTGATTTTTCCTGATTTTTCTCACCTCAGACCCTTTCCTCACACCCCCTGCACCGACCCAGAGCCCATCAGAGGGTGACTCAGAGGGAAGTGGAACAACAAGGTGTGTGCCGTGTTGTGGCAAGACGGAGCATCTTCCCTGAGCTGGCTGCGTGTTGTGTGACCTCACTGGCCGAGGACAATGGACCAAGTGAACTGAAGACTCTTGAAGGAAGGAAGCTGGGGGTGATGAGATGATCTTGGCAGCAGGCAGAGGAGAAGCTGCTTCGGAGGGGAACCAACTAGAACGAATACTTGAGCTAACTTCGTGGCAGGATGTGGCTCCAGTGGGAGGTGGGGCTGCTGGTTTGGTGATGGAGCACATCAGTGGGTGGCAGTACCTAGATGAGGGTGCATGGGGGGTGGCGGAAGAAAGGGGATCTGAACAGCCCAGGACTTGAGGCTGATGGGAGGGAGGGGCTTCTTGGGCCTCAGCTGCACAAGGATTATGGGAACCAACCCCTTCATGCACTTGGGTGTGTCCTACACACTTGTGGTTTGAACCAGTACACATGGCCCTTTGGAGGGGCATTCAGGAGGGGCTGTGCTCAGCATGCTAATAGAGCTTCAGTCCATCCCAGAGATCAGAGGGCCAATTGCTGTATTATTAATAATTATTTTAACTAATAACAATAATTAATAATGCAAGAGATCCATCCACAAACCACAGTGAGCCTGAAAAGCTAACTGGCTTACTAGTTTTGCTTGTAATCCCCAGAAACAGAGCTTGACACAGGGATCCTGGCACATGTCAATAATTAGGGGGTTCCTTTCAGGAAAAGGGGGGGCAAGGAAAGCAGGACAGGGCAGAGGAAAATGTTAAGCCAGAAGGTGGCCTCAGCTGGAGTCTGGCTACAGCCTGAGCTGGGGAGTGTGGATCCAACCATAGACTGGGGTCCACTCTGAAGCAAGTGGGCTGGGCTTTTAAATCCCCCTGTCGGTCAGGCATTGGCTGGGGGCTGAGGGCTGGGGGCGGGCCTACTGTCCTAGGCCAGGTGTCCTCTGGCTGAGGGCAGTTCTTGGGGCATCTGTGGGCAGCAGCCTGCGGAAGGGTATTTCAATGGGGCACTAACCATGTCCATGACACTTGTGATTTGGTATCGGATCAAAACTCACATGCTGTGAGATGGGAAACCGGTATGACTACAATTCGACAGCGGAGAGTTAAACTTGACCCAGGAAAGTCCAGGGCTCCTTCCAGCTCACTCACCAGGGCCCTTAAGGATTCCGTCTCGGCCTGCAGGCTCTGGACTTGGCACGAAGTGTTGTGCAGCTCCACCCTGAGGGCAGCAGCCATCTTCTCCTCCTGGGTCTGGGCCATGCGGGCCACCTCCGCCTGTTGCTGTGGACAGTCAGGATTCGGGGTGAGCAGGGCTGAGTCCAGGAACTTCCCTTCCCTTCCCTTCTCACCCTCCCCAGTCACCACTTCATTGCCTCTATCTCAGAGGAAACAGCTGTTTGATTTAAAAATCGCTCTTTTTTTTTAGAGGTGCCCACACCAACTTGCATGCTAACATTTATCTAGTTTGAACATATAATGCATGCAAATAGAATACAATTCAAAACATCTTCTAAAGGATATACAGTATAAATCTTCCCGTGCCCTAATCACTCAGCTCTCCTCTTTCCAGTGTTACATCTCCTTCCAGAGGCATTTCGTATATTTGTAAATAAATACGTATGATCGTGTCCCCTTGCTTTGGTACTTAATACAGCTTAGACTTTATTCTATAACAGTATATACAGATCGATTACATTCTTTTCAAAGGCTGCACAGTATTGCCCTGTTTGGACATAATTATTTGGAAGTTCCCCAGTGACGGACACGTAGATTGTTTCCAGTCTTGGCCTGTTATGAACAAGGGCGCAATCCCTCATCTTCCATACAAGGGACCATCTCTGAGGGGTAGATTCCTGTATGGAACTGCTGAAAAATGTAGGCATTTGTAATTGTGATGAATGTTTCTAAATTGCCCTCCAGAGGATTTGTAACCCGCTCTAGCACTAGTAATAACCTTCCTTAAACAAGGAGTGAACCAACTTGATCTGACATTCCCTGACTCTCTGTAAAAACCTGTCTGGCCACAGTTGTGAACACAACGGAAGGCCTGTGATTTGGACCTTCTCCCCAGGGCAAGCTGGACATAATCTGACTCCCCCGCACACACTCAGGGCAGCAGGTCACTGCTGTTCCTCTTTGCTGGGGAGAAAGGGAAGCATGAGAGATCGCCCTCATTTACCTGCAGCCCCGTCTGGGGAAATAAATGTCTCCAAGCCACTGATGTAGGAGAAAATAAACTGCTTTCTCTCCTAGGTCACTGGCTTGCTGGATTTGGTATTTTTACCACCTACGAATACTTATTTACAGACTTATGCAAAAACAGTCCAACCTAATTGGCTGAGACACCCCGAGTCAAAAGGCTCACATGGCAGGAGCAGTTCTGCCAGTTCTTGCTGTTTGAAGGCTGTAAAGACTCAACACAAATGTCCCTTAAGGGCCTGGGAGCAGCTGAAGGAGAAGAGACGCCGTGGGCCGCGCTCTGACTGGTTGGCCCGTGGCTGTGTGTCTCTGGGCCAGCGCTCGGCCTCCCTGAGTCCCTGTCCTTGCCCACAGATGACAGCGACTGGGGAGTGATAATCATTTGAAGCTGTCTCTCGGGGTCACTATGAGGCTTCCATATCAGGTCATTCACGTGGAAGCTTTAGAACCTCAAAAGCAGGCAAACACTGGCTGTCTATATTTTCTGTGTGTAGCAAGGAATAGCAGCCAACAAATGAGTTTGCAAAAGCCACGAGGAGTGGAACACTACAACCATAACTAGTATGTGTTAAGCACTTACTTTGTGCCAAGCACTCTGTTAACTGCTTTAAGTCCACATATCATTTAGCCTTTACAACCCCGTGAAGCAAGTGTCACTGTTTTTTTTTTTTCCCCTTTTGGGAAAATAAAGCCATTTATTTATTTTTTATTTATTTATTTTGATTGAAGTACAGTCAGTTACAATGTGTCAGTCTCTGGTGTACAGCACAATATCCCAGTCATGCAAATGCATATATATATTCGTTTTCATCTTTTTTCCATTAGGTTTATTACAAGAGATTGAACATAGTTCCTTGTGCTGTATGAAAGAAACTTTTTAAAAAATTGTATTTTTATATATAGTGGCTAACATTTGTAAATCTCAAGTGTCATTGTTAATTCCATTTGACTTGAGGAAACTGAGGCACAGAGAGATGGAGCTATTTACTCAAGACCGTATGGCCTACAAGGGGCAGAGCTGGGACTCGAGGCCAGCAGCAGACCCCAGAGCTCGGCATTAACCAGCACTTAAGGCTGCCACTCCCACCTGTGCCTCGACTTCAGACTCCCCACATTAGAGCTGTCTCCCCCGAAGTGAAGCTGGATCACTCTAACACCCTCACTGGTGCTCAAGTCCTGTGATCAATAGCCTTGTTCTCCCTCTCTCTGGGGTTGGGGCCTGGCCGGATGGGTTGTGTGGGTGGGTGGGAGGCAAGCGGAGTGGGTATCCTGGCAGACGGATGGAGTCAGAGTGGCCAGGGGGAGCCATGAGCTAGAGCTGGCTCCTAACACTCACAAGAGCCGAGTGCTGCGTTCTCAGAAATTTTGTGACCTGGTTGTTATACAGCCATCATTCAAAATTAAATTGTATCAACTTACAATCAAATAAGTTATATTAAAAATGGTAATTAATGGGGGGAGGATATAGCTCAGTGGTAGAGTGCTTGTTTAGCATGCACAAGGTCCTGGGTTCAGTCCCCAGTGCCCCCACTAAAAAAAAAAAAACTATTACCCTTTCCCCACAAAAATAAAAATTAAAAAAAATTAAAATGGTAATAAATAAACATATCACTGGCTAATTATTTTCCATTTTATCCTTACCTGTGTTGTTGAGGTTTTTTACATCCATGGTACCCGTATGGGGGAAATAACACACAATGCTGTGTCCCTGCACATTTCTTCCCCATTCTGCTCATTTACATCAAGTTAGTAGCTTGAAATCAGCCAAAATTTACACCATGGAAATTGGCAAACACTACAAATCAGGGATTGAATGACTATTTTGTTGATTGTCTAGACTTGAGAAAGGGATGCAGAAAATGTTAATAATGCAGATGGAACTTAAAAATGGGTGATTTCTGTGGCTATAGCATTGCGGATGGCACCAAAATGAAAGGGAATGTTCTTCCAGTATCTGAAAATTATTATCTGATTCACAAAGCAGTTACTCACATCACTGATGAGTGAACTCACTAAGGTCAGCGAAAATTCATAGCAGAGCTTTCCTCATTCATCAGTGATGTGAGTGACTTTTTGCTTAGTCAGACATTAATAATCGAGCATTTTTCTGTAGTCTGATCTTGTGACATTACTGCTGATGACAGGATTGTAAAAATGGTTGGTGGATCTCCAAAGAAACAGCAAGTCACACTGAAGTTATAGGTGCAAGTGGAAAAACAAGGTATTTTATCTTAAAATTTGCTATTTCTAAAATTGTATAAAGAAAATGTCAACAGAAACTTTTATGTTGCCTTTAGGTAGTATCATGAATTTGACTGGCATATAAATACATATGCTTAGATTTCCTGCAGAGAGCAGCTGGGAAACGTCACCAGCACAGCATGGGTACAGCTGGGCATGCGGGGGAGTCAGTCCCGTGCAAGCACGTTTCAAAGCCTTGGTGGGTGGCTCTGGGGTGAAGCTGCTGGCCAAGGCCATAGCCCCAGCCCCGGCCCAGTATGATCTGCCCTTCCTCTCACCCAGACATTGTCTTGTGCACCGCGGCTCAGTGGTGTGTCCTAGTCTCCAGAGGGATGAATCCCCATGTCTTAATTCCATTAGCAAGACATCGTACCCAAGTGCTTCCCAAAACATTCTGGGACACCCTGCGTGGTCTGTCACATATCTGAATACAAATTCACACTATTTTTATTTAAACCAGTTCACTTTTTTTGTTTGTTTGTAACAGAAACTGTAGGTAAGTTCTCAAATTTAAATATGCGTCAGCATCATTTGGGGCATCTTATGAAAATGCAGGTTCTGATTCAGGGGATCTGAGTGGGGCCCAAGGATCTGCATTTAAAACTTCCCCGTGATGACTGATCTTTGAAAGCCAAGTTCTGGATTGCTGCACAAACTGATAAAACTGTATCACTTGCCATAGATAGAAGATAACTGAAAAATTAATAAAATTAAAACAAAACACTATTATTTGATGGCAGATATTGCCTGCCAAGCTGCTGAGTCTCAAAGCTGGCTTTCTCTTTGTTGAAAGGTGAGATTCATGAGTATAAGAGAAGGGTTAATAACCTCCCAGCACCAAATGGAAATTTTCTTATACTGTTTAATTAAGCTTGAAAGAGAAGAAGAAATGAATTTGATCACTATGAGTGTCAGTGCTGTTTTAGAGCATGTCCCAAACCTCAGATCAGCTTGCCACAAGTGACATTTGCCTTTCATCTGGGGACAGTTCCTCGCTTTAACTCACCTAAAAGTATTACGTATTCTTCCCCAGTGGCTTTTCAGATTTATGTTTCCTCATTTTTATAATAACTCTACCTTTGTTTCCATTTCGACGCAATGCCTTCAGGTGTCCCCTCACACACCAAATAGTAGGTGTGTGGTTCTAGCCCCTGAGCAGGGAAGGTAGGGCTGTGTACTGTTCTCAGAGCAGTTGCTAGGATGTTAGTTCCCAGACTTTCAAACCAGCTCAAAATCTTGGCTCCACTGTGCAGCAGCTAGACTGCCCAGGTTTGCACTCCATCTATGTTTCTGGGGCAGGAGAGCATGCTGACATTTTGAAATATGGTAAAAATTTTCAAGTTAAAATGTACAGATGGGTGTGTTGGTGCACATGAAGTCACAGGCTCACTGGTTTTGCAGCTGGTGAACAGCTTTATAGGAGGCTTGCTCCAATGCAGAGTACAGCTAACTGCCTTGCTCTTAAGTTTCTCAGACCCCACAGGATCACACTGACTCATTATGGTCACTGTCACAGAGGAAGGGAAAGCAGTGGGCCCTGAGGGGACATAGGGGTCCCTGCTCTTATCCACACAGAAGGCACAGATTTGTGGTCTGGAGAGATCCTGACGGGAGTCTGGCATAACGTTTTGGCCCCTCAAGGCAAAGCCCTCCCAAACTCACACAAGATGTCCTTGGCTCATCCTTAGAAAAGAGGATGAATCAAGGCTCCCTCCACTTCATGTGATTTTCCAGGTCAGCCTCGCAGGTACGAGTGTTGATTCTATAGTCAGAACGTGTTGTTTGAATCCCAGCTCTGCCACTTTCTACCTGTGTGATCGTGGGTAACATACCCAACCTCA